GATACATGTTAAAAACAAAGCGCAGTTATTTGAAAAGTAAAAGAGAGCCTACAGAAGCAGACTTAATAAAACGAAACTTTATGCCCAGTGATCCGAAGGAGAATCACATGTTTGGTGAAAGAGTTAAACTAGAAAGGAAGGTGGATATCTGTGTCAGATGTTTTAAATTCTAAAGTCATTTTGGGATATTTTAATTCAAGTCTTGTCAATAGAGTTCAGATGTTTTCTATTTTATGTGCATCTAGATAGCTTTGGATTTTATTTAACAAGAAACAAGTGCACAAATATATTTTGCAGAAAAGATAGGGTGTGAGAATATATTTTAAATACAATTTTTTAATTATTAATGGTGTTTCAGAGACCTTGTCTTCTGTTCTTTATAAAGTCTTCAAAAATGCTTTCAACAGATGACTTGCAAAGAATGTATCATGTCGTAAACTTTCTGAACAAGCTTTTTCCCCTTTCTGCTTTGGTAGTGCCATCAGAAGTAGTGGATTTCTGATAGAAAGCTGACCAGATCATTGATACAGAAAACAATGTGAAGTGCAGAGAGAGCAGTCTTCCTCTCTGTAGCTACACAGACCCAGCTAGGATATTGGTTCAGGTTTTTGTTATGGGCTTGGTTGTGCTTGGGGTGCAAGCCCAGAGGTAAATGACAAAGTTCTAACGTGCAATTCAGCAAATGAGCAATTCCTGATCAGCAGATATAGAGGGCAAATAATATAGTTTTGCTGTGGTAAGGATACAAATGAGTAAAATTTTTCTCTAATGGAGCTTGAACATTGTATAATTACTGTTCAGTATAATAATAGTATTTAGTCTTCACTTCACCAGTATCCAGTAAGCCTTCTTCCTACATCCTAATTTCTCCAGTGCTTTAATAGAAATTGTGACTGTTTTTACATTTTCTTCAATTTTTCAACAGACTTCACAGTGCTCCCCAGAGAAGTGGTCATGGCCTCAAACCTGTTGATGTTCAAGATGTTTGGGCGATGCTCTTAGATGCATGGGTTAACTTTTGGGTTGCTCTGTGTGGAGTCAGGAGTTGGACTCTATCCCTTCCAATTCAGGACATTCAATGTTCCTGTGGTTCTAGGCACCAAGGCTGTATACAGTATCTCTAAGGTATATGCTGATTTATGCAAATGACTTATTTTAATAGAGGAGGACAAGGCAAGGAGTAGGAGTACAGCTATGGCTCTGGGTAGGAAAGAAGGAACAAATTTATGAATCAAGCTAAGATGACCGTTTTGACTTACAAAAACTGGAAGAAACAGACATCACTTTTAAATATTCATTAATCACGTCCAGACTTTAAAGAGAGTATTGTAGTGACGACATAGAAAATTTTTAAAGGTAACAAACCCAGCTACAGTGCTTTAAAATGCTATGCATCATTTTTAAATCTGTCTGGCTGCTTCTTTAGTCTGAAAGCATTTGTGGGAATAATTAAGAGAAAGTTCTTTGCCTCAGTGGGCACCTGCAGTTTCAAACAGTGCTTGAAATGTCTTTTCAGCACCTTGAATATAAGATCTCTGCTATGTGTTCTTCAGAGCAACTTCTGGGTATTTGCACCAGATTTTAGAAGTCAATCAGTTGTAATGTGGAGTTGATTTAAAGCGCTTGCCCCCATTAGAGGCTTTTTTCTATAAACAGTGAGTTGGACAATCTTGATTCTTTCTAATTTTCAGTGTCTTTGATAGAAACTATGTTCTAGTTCCAAGAATTCTGACAAATAAGTGAAACAATATGGCAGTGTATTCATTTTTGAACTTCTGGGGTTTTTTTTTTTCTTGTTTACTGAAGAAACACGTGACCTTGGCATTATATTCACAGTGGTGCTTTTGTCTGTTTTGGTATAGCATCTGGTTCGGTAGGGAAACATTTTCCTCTTCTTAGTAGGCAGACGGTGCTAGTAATCATACTGGGCAGTAGCTTAGATTTATAATTTGGAAAGTTTTTCTCAATGGTGTTTGCATTTCAAATATTACACTAATATTTATTACCATATTTTAAGGAAACTGAGGATCATTCATTGTTTAATTTCTTGGAGGAGCATGTTGTCTTTATCCTCAATCACTATATTTGTAAATTCCTTTGAGTTTATTTGAAAACAGATTTTCTGTGTAGCCAGTGGGTGGATTCTACTTCAGCTGTTTTCCTTAACAATCACTAATCGTTGTTTTCTAGTGAAATAGTTAAATCTAGAAAGCATACGTTATCCACAAGATCATCTTGAAATCAGGAAGAATTCTCACTGACTTGAGTAGGGTTTAGACATGTATAAAGATCAAGAGATTGTTATTGAGAGCAGCCTGCCCAGATCAACAGTCACTTCTGATGGTTAAAAATCAAGCTGTTGGTTTTCCCTTTGCATTTCCCAGTTTACAGGGGGACATGCTGGTATAAATTTTTATGCAGTGGACCTGGTAATAATGGCTTATTACAATAAAAAGAATGATTTTTAAGTACAATTTATTTTAAAATAAATACAAAAATATATTCAGAACGGACCTACTACTACCTCAAAGTTCAAAATTGGTAGACTCTGTGTATATTGTGAAAACCCAGCTATGCATAAGCCATACATGCCAAGCTCGTATATATTTTTTGTTTGGGTGCAGAACATGTTGTCTGTGGATTATTTGGATATACCAGCTCTTCTGTGCCTTCAGTAGGGTTGTGTTTGGTGCATGCAGAATGGTCATTTGTTCAGGAATTCCAGAAACTTGGAAATCTGACAGATTGCTACTTCCAGGTGTGAGATGGGAAATTACCCGTGAAGCTGAAGGGCAGTGGCACCAGCAAGGATCTCCTGTCGGAACAGGTAGACTTGGCAGATCTGAAGGAGAGTTACGATTGTAAACTCGAGCACTGGGAGCTTAAGAAGTGCCAGAACTAGGACTACATAAGCAGCCTTAATTTGACCTACCTTGTATGGATGATTCAGTTTTAATGGTATACCATGGAAAGGTTTTATTTATTAGCAGAATCTTAGTGCAATCTTTGCATTTTGGCTCATGCTTGTTGAGAAATAGCTATTCAGAGTTTGGGGGGTTTTACCTTATTTGAGCTACAGATTCCAGGCTTCATTCACCACACACCACCTAAACTCTGCAATACATACAGAACTCTAATGATTTTATTGTCAAACTTTTTAATGATTTTTTTTTTATAATGTCTGTATATATAGACCATATTACATTATCTTTATAGCAGTCCTGCAAGATTAATAGTGCTATCTTCTTATTTTTAACTGTCATGGCATGAAAAATAAAGGGAGATTAGGCCAGTATTATCAAAATCATGGACTAAGACTGGATGCTTAGCTTGGAATGGCTAGGATGTCTTTCCTCAGAGTATTTTTTGATGTTCAGAACTGTTATTCTCAGATGCAGGACAGGGTGCTTAGCACTTCTAAGGATATGGACTCAGAAGTGTTAAGCTGACTATCTAGAATATGAAGGATGTAACATGAGCAAGCTTTGGTTTTGAAGATTTTCCCAGGATCATAAAACAAACTGTATATCAGAGGCAGAGTTTTAACTGCTGTTCACCTAAGACTACCCAGGTTTTATTGCAGGGGTTTTAGAGATGAATCTGTAGCTTTTGTTTAGAACTTTCTCTTCATGCTCTTTCAGTTTTTAGCAGCTGTCCAGGGGAAAGAAGCAATTGCTGGAAACGAGATTTTGATGTATCTCTCTGGTTCCTTTGTTTTGTTTAACAATTCTAGAAATGGTTTGGGTGGGTTTTGGTTGGTTGGGTTTTTTGTTTGTTTGTTTTTTTATTCCTAATACATATAGGGGCCTTCCCCATGTAAATTCTGAGTTTATAATTTTGCTAATAATAATGTACTTGTGAATTCGTCATGTATGTGACTTCAGCCTTAAGTAAAAGAAACAGTGAATACAAAACTCCATAAAAGCCATCTCAGTAATCTTCGGCAAACTGAATTCTGAATTTCAGCGCACTCTTCCATTACTGGGAACAAGTTATTAACCAATGTCATACTCCACTCTTTTTAAAAAGAAATAAACATACACTTTTCCCTTTGCTTTTGAGCTGTAGTTCTCTTTTTGTTCTTGCTGCTTGTGCATCTGGGTTCTGAGGTCAGAATTGCTGTCTTCGGTTCTGGTGACTGGCACTGCCACGGCCCTAGTGAGCTTGAAGGAACAAATACTGAAAGGACTTAGGCTTATTTGACATGTGTTTTAAGTATTGCACATATTTAGTCTGCTCATTGCTGCAAGAGCTTGGAAACATGTAGTATTCTAAGTACAAGTTAAGTATTTGGAGAAGTGCAGCCCCTCCGAGTCCAAGAAGCAAGCAGTTCTCTTTCTCCCTGAGACTTACGAAGTCACAAAACTTGAACATATTTTTCACAGGGATGGCAAAACTTAAATCCCTTCTATGGTGTGACCTCTTATAAAAGTTCTAATGTTCACAATGAATTTATAGAGGTAATCAATAAATGGATGAAAAGTACTGCTCTATAAATAGTCTTTTGTAGGAGTAAGTATTGAATAACTTTGCAGATAGGTGTTAGTGGAATATTTACGTTTTATTAGATAAATTAATGGAGAAATAAGTGGAGAAAATAAAAATGTAGAGACATGCCAAGGCACAACAATTGTAGCTTCAAATTAACCTGTTATTGAAATGAAACCTGCATAAAGTGTCAATTTCTTCCTGTTGTTGCCTGTTAAACCCTGCAAAGATGATCTTGAATACTGAATTCAAAGGAACACACCTTCACTTTGTAGAGTTAGTTATATCTCTCTTCATGCCTATAGAGCTAGATTTATATCCGTCTAACCAACTCCAAGACCTGTTGCGTTTTCCCCATTGTCTCCGAATTTTGTAACCCTGCATATGTTCACTTTAAATGAATTTGATTCTTGTTTTAGATAGTTATGTTACATTGCTTAAAAATATTTTTCATACTGCTTCAAACAATTGATATTACTACTTAACTATGTATTTCTTTTTTGTTTCATTAGTTTTGCCAGCCTGGAGGATGGCAACTTTCGAAAGAGAGAAAACAGCCAACGTTCTTCGTGGTGGTTTTGACTGATATAGACTCAGAGAGGCACTACTGTTCCTGCTTAACTTTCTATGAAGCAGAGATTAACCTGCAGGTAAAAACTTTACAATAAGTAACAAAAATGCAGAAAAAAAATGTTTAGAAACAATAGATTAATGTTATAGAGGACAACTTTAGAAAATATTTTGCTGCTCCTGGTAAGGATGTGTTTTCTGGTTACACAGAAATGCATATATTTTTGCACAAAGGTGAGCTCAACATACTTGTTTGTGTGTTTTGTTTTTTAGCTGCTTTGAAAAAAAAAAAAAACCAAACCAAAAACATTTAATAAATTTATTTTTCCCCACCAAATGGATTTGTGGGTTTGGGTGGGTTTTTTTTGGTTTTTTTTTGTTTGTTTGTTTGTTTTAATGGGACAGCCAAGATGGTGTTGCTTTCATTTACTTCCATGTTTGACACTGCATGAATGATTCTCATCTTTGTTCTAAGAAAACGGTTTATTAATTTCTGCTCCCTCTGCTGGCCAACTCTATCAGGCCAGCACAGGACAAATGTGTACAAGTATGCTGTAATGTATATATGTACTTCTGTAAGTGCATTTATTGGCAAGATTTTTGTGGGTGTAAATGGCAAGATTTTAAAACTGATAGAATAATCCTTCAGTTTTTTAGGTAGGTCAGATTTTGGGTGTCAGCTACTTGGCAGTGTTTGTTTTTAAATGTGTATTTAATTATTTTTGGGCAACCTCAGTCTTTCAAAAATAGACATTTTGTTTCCCATTTGATGTAAAGTACTTCACAGAATCTCTGCTATGACATAATACTTGGAATCTTTAGAAGCTAAAACCTAGGGAAAACCTAATCCAATCTGTAATTGCAGACTGTCATTGTTATGTTTTTAAATACTTTTTTCCCCACATGGAAATGAAAAAATAAGTAAAACCTTGGCATTAAGTATATTAAATTTAGTTAAGATTAAATAGATGACTAAGTAATTTTTTTGCTCTTTTACTGAAGAACTGTAACATTATTGATTATATTAGGAAAATGCTTTTAATGACCCAACTGTACTCTGTTTATTTAATACTGGAGTTGAAATGTTACCATATTTATAGAATAATTAAAAGATGTGGCATAGTAACTATAATATTGTGCTTTTTCTAGGCACAATTGGAAGCCAGAGAATAATAGTAGTTCTTAGTTCATTACCACTGTAGTTTAGGTAGATATTTTTGTAGATTATTAAAAGGAGTTAAAAGCAGAAATGTAACCAAGAATTAGATGTATTTTAGTCTTAAATTTTAGTGTAGATCAACTGACATCTTCCTATTAAATATTTAGTCATTATTTAATGTCTGTCATCTTTCCTTTATTTGATAAGTAAAGAGTGAAATATTCTTTACTAATTCTTTGCCAGCTGATAAAAATTTACAACAGCCGATTCTTCCTCCACAATATGTATTTCATAACATATGCTAAATTTAGCAAACTTGTTATTTATCCTGTGGCTTCTAGCAGCTGCTTTTGATTCACTATCCACGTCTTTCAAGTAATGCTCATCACAAAACATCCAGTATTAACTAAAAGGTTTTTTTCTTACATTGCCTAAGTATTAACACACACACACAAAAAAAAAAAATAAAAAAAACCTGAGCGCAGCAGGATGTTGGTTCTCATAATGCCATTCCTGGCTGTGTTGTAAAGAATGCATATTTTTCAGATGAACTTGCTGTGGTGAAATCTATTCTATGACTGCATTGTTTATAGCCAAACTTCCTGTTTCTTTCTAAAACCCAAAGAGAATAATTGAACGTGCCCTGTTACATGGTCATTAGACAAGAATTCAGCACATGTACAATCTGTAATGAAACATAAGCTTGTGAAGCACTGGGCTATGAAAGTAATAGTGATTTAACTATTCAGATGCATGCCTCATTAAACAAACAGTCCATGAAACATTGTGTCTGGGACTTGAAATGAAATCTGGACAGTAGTTTTCACAGTTAAATACAGTTAAGTGGTTTGGTTTGTTTTTCTTTTTTTACTGAATGATATAACTCACTCAGACAAAAGTAAGATTAAATTTCTGAAAAAGAAGGGTTATTTCTTTCCCAGTAGCCTTCACTGGGTAAACTGGTGATACGCAAGATCAGTCAGAATTCAGCTAGAGCAGATTAGATGTTTGGCTTTGCAGAATCACCTTCACACAAAACTGGAATTAACCACTTGGAAGTTTCTGTGGTTAATTAAACTGCAAAGTGAAAATAAAGTAATTTCTCAGTTTGTGAATGCTGGAGGAGAACTACTGAAATTTCTTTGAGCCTCCCTGCATAATATTAGAAGAACCCTTTTGACACAAGTGATCAAGCTGGGTCTGAGAAGGCTGTCA